ACCTGGGGTTTTAAAGCATAACTATGGATAATTCAATTGTTAAAGTAGATGGATATGCCGTCCCCTTAAATTTGTTCAGCAATATCTGTTACTGAACTGCGTCTTTTATCCCCAGTTGAAAATTGAGAATGAGAAAGATAGGACTGGGAAGGTCTTTTCCTCCCTTCTGGGGAACTTATTTTGAAAGGGTAAAAATCATTGTTGTGGCTAATATATTGTTTTTTTATAACTTCTTTTCCTTTCACAGCTGCCTTATATCTTCATTTCAATCATGTTTGGAAGTGTGTGTATTAAAGAAGAGTATGGGGAATCAGGCTTTCTTCCAGTTCTTTTGCCAATAATTTTCTCTGAAGTCAATATATTTCCTCCTATCATCTTCAACATTTTTTAAAAAGCAGAATACATTTATTGAGAAAAAGCTTCTGTCTCAGAGACAGAAGGGGTCCCCAGTGGATTGTGCCCCCTCCCACCCTGCCTTTTTTTTTTTTTTTTTTTTTTTTTTTGGTACCAGGGATCCAACTCACAACCTTCTGTTTGCAGGTAGCCACTGTGCCAATGAGCTATATCCCCAGCCAACACTTTTAAAAATTGTCATTAACATTAATGGATTTTTGTTGTTTTTGTTTTTGTTGTTGTTGTTTGTTTGTTTGTTTGTGTTTGAGACAGGATCTTGCCATGCAGTTCAGGCTGGCCTTGAACTTACCCCCAAATTGGCCTTGAACTGACAAGGATCCTCCTGTCTCAGCCTCCCAAGTGCTCAGGTTACAAGAGTGAACCAACTTGTAAACACCTGACTAACATTAAAGAATTTTATTTTTTAAATTTAATTTTAAAGGGAATAAAACAGCAGCTAAACGAATCAAAACAGTGATAAGACAGCAGGAAATCTATAATACTTAATATATTACCTATTATTGTTCTCTAAATAGTTGCTCAGCTTTAGGCTTGCAAAGTCAAACAACACAGTTCCTGCAAATCAGCTGGTTGCTCATAGTGGAAGGAGGAGGGAGGGGTCTGTTCTCTCCCCAGCCCCTGCAGTGGCTAGCTGCAGGTGGGGCTTAACTTCCTTGTTCTCCCTGATCTGCTCTTCCAATGGGCTCACAGAGTGGGGCTTAGCTTCCTTCCTCCATTATTGAATTCTAATACATGTTACTGCACTGCAAATCAAAGGTGTCCACTGTTGGTTTACTGATTGGTAACAAGACTGTAGGTAGTGGCAACTCCTGTTTTCATGGTCTATGGGTCTAAAGGAACATTATTTCTAAAATAACATCATTATATCCCATGTCAGCTATAAAAAGATCTATAGTATTCTTCCTATCACCTATACTGCAGGTTCTTATAAATAAAAAAGGAGGAAAAAAAACTTACTTTGACGTTATTAAGGGACTAAAGTATGTTGGGAACCACTGAAAAAAATTGTGGGGTACTTAAATCATTGAAAAGGAACAAGGGTCTATAAAGAATGCAAAAGAAAATGTGTTGTTTCTAAAAGAATTGAATTGTAGGGACATTAATCCTAAAAGCTGCTTTAAGTTGTATTGCCTATTCGATCCTTTTTCATGTATTTTTTTTTTTTTTTAAGACAATCAGCCTTCTGTCGCCCCTGAAATGTCTCTTTTCTTGTCTTTATATTTCTGGCATTTGGTCATAGTTGAGGATTTTTCAGTGGTGGCTTCATCTAGTGTGTGACATTGGAATTGATTCATGGTGCAGTGCTATCTCAATGGCACTAGGATTTAAGATGTCAGTGCTACCTGCCCTAAGTAGCCTGGGTAAGATAAAAGGGCAGAAATACACTGCTAAGGTCTCTTGTTAATATCTTCTGCTTGCCATGAATTGGTTCTCCTCTGCATTGCTCCTCTGTGGAGCCACCCCACCTTGGAGCCAGCCAGTTATGGGCTGAAATTTCCACAAACTGCACTAAATAAAACTTCCTTCTTTAACATTGTCAAGTAATTTATGTGAACAACTAGTGAAAAGTAACTAAGACACGGCACAATATAACTTTCTGAGTGTATAAGAGATTTTTTTTTTTTTATTTCTAGCTCGCTAGCTCAGTGACAATACTTTCCTAGTATGCAGAAGACTCCAGGACCAAGCCTCAGTCCAAAAAACCATTTTGTTTTTATCTTCATTGAGTGTGTGTATAAAAACTCGTGGATTTTGAATTATATAAATTAAACCTTAATAATCCTGACCTGAAAGATATGTAACATATGACAGTAGTTTTTATCTAACCTAGACTTTTCAAACTCTCAATGTCATGGGAAAAGTAAAGTAGGGTGTCTCAACTACATCTAAGGAAACTGCAGAAATTACACAGCCAAAGGAAATGAATGAGCTTGAGATGTACTGTGGTCTGAAATACTTCAAGAAAACAACTAATAAAATAGTGTTTGTACCTTTGGGAATATTTCTGTGTGAACTAAATGGTTGAATGTGGACTAATGTTACATAATTAGGGTGAATTTTGGAACATTAAATGGATGGTATGCTTACGCAGAACAATATCTTATTAGGAGATGCATACTGAAATATTTAAAACAAAAATTTTTTTAGAACTTAATTTCAAATGATATTTGAAACAATTTACAGGGCTGCCATGGTGGCCCATGCCTGTAATCTCAGCTCTAGGGAGATTGAGGCAAGAGGATCCTTGCAAGTTCAAGGGCTGCAACCTGGGCTACAAAGTGAGCTCGAGGCAAGGCTGAACTGCATAGCAAGACTCTTGTCTCAAAAGGAGAAAAACAAACTTGCAGAAGAAACATGATCATTTCTGAAGTAGTTGGAGAATTTGTAAGCACACATTAACATTCTCTGGACAATTTTTTAAAAATTTAGTTTAATGCTTTGATTTGAAAAAAATCAGGTGGCAGGTCCAAGGCGCACGCCAGCGGCAGGCTACAGGTCGCGGCATGCGCTGGCGACAGGCGGCTGGGCCCCAGCGCACGTGGGTGACAGGGGGCAGTCTTCCAGCCTGCACTGGTGACAGGCGGCAGGCAGCTGGCGCGCACCGACCACGACAAAGTAGGCTGACGGCACGCGCTGGCGACAGGCCGCATGCTGCGGGTGCACGCTTGCGACAGCCCGGCTGGATGCCAGCGCGTGCCAGCGATAGTCCGCAGGCCGACTGCATGTGCGGTGACGGGCCGCAGACCGCCGGTGGGTGCTGGCGACAGACTGCATGCCTCCTGGTTCACTGGCTTGCATTGGCGACAGTGGCAGGGCGGCCGAGCGAGGCACCGACAGAATGAGGGCCGCCGGGCCGCTGCAGCGAGTCGCGAAGGCTTCCGGCACGTGTAGGCAACAGGCCTCGGGCGGTGGGGCGGGCAGAGACAGCAGGCAGGCCGCAGGTCTGTCGGCAGAGCAAGCCTGTGTCGTGTTGCTGTCGCCGCCACTCACTCCTGTGGCCAGCCGCCTGTGGCCGGCACGCGCCACCTCATGCTTATGAATCGTCTCCACTGCAATATACTAAGACTCTAAGAAAAGGAACACATTTATGGGATAAATAATATATGACATACCTAGGTTTATTACATGATTTCATTATGTAATTGCTTCTGATTAATAATGGGAAAATCCCCACTATTACGCTCATTTACTAGAATGAATACAATTTAGATTATTTAAATATTGCAAAATATGCATATATTACAAATTATAGAATAATAAATAATCTAAAACATTTAATATAATATGTTACAACTCAATTGATTAAACATTACATTATTTATTTAAGAAAAATCCAAACATACATGCAAGTAAATGTGCATGTGTATAATCTTTTGGCATAATAATTTCAAAAAAGGAAAAAGAAAAATATATTATGGAAAAAATATTGTTTTCAATAAATATGTTTTCTCACATTGCTTGAAAGGCGAGAGCACTGAAAATCTGCTCACATCAATTGTCATGTATATAATATACCGTCATTCACTGTACTCGGCATGGTGCACCAAAGATCTCTTGAACTTACTCCTGATTCTTTTTAAAAACATTTTAAATCACCAATTGTCAGTACCAGGGCTGGGGTCAGCAGGAGGGGCGTCACCACCAGGGGGGCGTCAGCACCAGGTGGGGGTCAGCACGGGGTAGGGGGGCGGAGGGGGGTGAGTCAGCGGGAGGGGGGGTGTGAGTCAGCCCTGTGAAGGTGAGAAGCAGGAGGTGGTCATCACCAAGAGGGAATCAGCAACAGGTGGGGAGTCGGGGGGGGGGCGGGGGAGCACCAGGGATGCGTCAGCACTGGGGAGGTTCAGCACTGGGGCGGGGGAGGGGGGAATCAGCATCATGAAGTCGAGAAGCAGGAGGGCGGTCACCTGGAAGTGGGTCACCAGGAAGGGGGTCAGCAACAGGGGGGGTTAGTACCAGGTGGAGGGTCAGCAGGACAGGGGTCAGAACCAGGGGGAGAGTACACTGGGAAGGCATTCAGCTCATGCCTTGTGGCACACCAAAGCTCCCTGGCTTCTTGGTGTCTCTGGTTGGGACCCTACCATGTTCTGCAAAAAGTACTGAAGCGCACAACTTGGTGTATTTTGCTATGCAGGCCTTCAGTTCACAGTACTCAACACATGGCGGCTCCCAGTTATCTGGATGTCACTGTATGGGGCCCAAGCAGGACCTGAATGATCTACGTATTTGGAAATTGCTTTTTCACTCATGTCATGGTGTCTTCTGATGAATGAATGTTGTGAATTGTAATTAGATTACTATGCTACATTAGTCTGTTGATATTTTAATTAGTGTTATCTTGTATCTTGATTAAAAGTCCTTCCCGACTTCCAGATCATGAAAATATACTCCTATATTACCTTCTAGCGGTTTTATAGATTGCCTAAATATTTTTATGTAGTTATTACTGTTCTGATAAAGCTCTCTGGACACCTGAGCCAAACTCTAAGGCAAGAGTTATACTGAGGGAAAAATATTTTTTTCAAATCAAAGCATTAAACCTTTATTATATATCAAATTTATGGAAATGTCTATTTTGCTCTATGTTAATGCTACACTATTTTATTAATTGTAATTATCTGCATTATTGATTTTTTCAAGTATTCAGAATTCAGTTCATTAAAGTCTCAAAATGATTAAAATTATTTTGTTAGTGTCTTATTCGGACTTGGATTAGTGCTAAATTGAATTGATAAATTAATTTGTAGAAATAAGCATAATTTGAATAGGACTATTTCTTTGGGGAATGTGATATGTTTCTACATTTACTCAAATTCACTTTTGTATGTCCCTTAGTAATATACTTTCCAAGACATTTTTCATTCTTTATATCTAGTTAATTGAGTGTTTATGTTACTGTAATTGACTTTTTTCTATTATGTCTTTGAGTTGGTAATTCCAAGTATGTATGTATAAATGTAATGTTTATTGTATAATTATTTTATTACAAGCCAGTTTAATGAATTTGGTTTTTGAATGTTTTGTTTTGTTTTTTTTCTTTTTCAGGCAGGGTTTCACTATGCAATTCAGGCTGGCCTTGAACTTACTTTGTAGCTAGACTTGAACTTGCAGGGATCCTCCTGCCTCTTGCCTCAGCCTCTGGAGTACTGGGATAGGCATGCACCACCATGTTGAGCTTGGCTCTTAGTTTGAATGAAACTACTTAGGCAGCAAATCATCTAGCTTCAGTTAAATGATTATCTAATTTAATTCTTTTCCAATATAAGTAAATTTTCTTTATGTATGTATCTTATTTGTATAAAATTACCAAAACAATATCAAGTAATAGCAACGAAGCACCAAAATTAGAATGTACCTGAAATTTTTAAAAGTTAATAATTCTGTATTGAGATGATAGCTCAATGGTGGAGTGCTTGCCTAGCAAGGTCCTGGGTTCAATCCCAGCCAACAATAATAATAACTCTGGTGCTTCCTAAATTGAATATGATTTTGGATGTTTGAGATATTTTTATGTTACATTTCTGTTTTCTTTATTTTGAAAACCAACTGTGGGAATTGGATACAATGTTATGGTGAGATTGGCACTTACCATATTGTATTACTTTAATATGAAACTCCAATCTTTTTTAATTATTTAGGTTTTTATGTTCATATTTGTTACTTAAACTGGTTTGTAGTTTTAAGTAGTTTTTCACTTAAAAATAAGATTTCTTGTTTTGATTTATAGGCTGGAGGAGTTTTTATCCTTTTTCAAACATTAATCATTGTTAAAAGAAAAACGAAAAAACAGCCTTCTAAGCAATCCAAGTAAACTAAATCTCTCCTGAGGAAAGTCGCATTTTATTTATTTATTTATTTATTTATTTATTTATTTATTTATTTTGTCTTTTTTGAGGCAGGGGTTTCAGTATATGGTGCAGGCTGGACTTGAACTCACCTTGTAGCCCAGGCTGGCCTTGAACTCACAGCAAACCTTCTACCTCAGCCTCCCGAGTACTGGGATTGCAGGCGTATGCCACTATGCCCAGTGAAATGTATATTTTCATATAGCTAGTGGCACATGAACACATTTTAAAGACTGACAAAAAGTAGAGGACATAAATATAATGAGTTAATGGCATTCATATTTAAAAGATTTCTAGAAATTAATAAAATCTAATAGAAATATGAATTTAAAGCAAAACATAAAATCATTAGCAAAAACATGAAAATTTGTTAACCTTTACTGTTTGTGAGTATATTAGTTGGTTTTCTGATACCAGGAAAAAAACAAATCTGAGACTAGGAAGTACATGAAATAAAGGAGATTTTAGCTCACAGGTTTGGAAGCTGAAAGACCATGATGTGGTGTCCATTATTTAGCCTCCAGCAAGGGCTCCTTTGGCTTCCTCACAGCATAGGAGAAAATCAGAAAAAGAAATGAGCACATAAAAAAAAGAACAAAGAAAAAAACTAGGCACGTGATGTGATAACAGCCTTGTCTCCCAAGAGCTAACTCATTTTGTGAGAGGAGCATTAATCCCTTCAGAGACAGCACGTACACGACCTAATTACTTTGCATATGAATCTCTGGAGAACACAGAAAAAATAGCATTGAGGAAAATGCACATTACCACAATAATGGAATTCTGTTTTCACCCAATACATTGCCAAATTTAAAAGATTCATATAATTAAATGTTCCTGAGCATGTGGAAACTGATACACCTTGATAAGTAATAATTTCCTATTAAATAATTAATATTTACTTAACATTTTCTTTTTTTTTTTTTTTATCGGTACCAGGGATTGAACTCATGACCGCCTGCTTGCAAGGCAGGTGCTTATGCCACTAAGTTAAATCCCCAGCCCCAATAGTTAATATTTAATAATTAACTATTAAAGTTAAAAATGTTTATCTTTTTCTCCAGAATCTATCCAGAGATAGTAGCAAAAGATACAAATTATATAAATGCAATGATACCCCTGAAACATTTTTTTGTTTTGCTTTTGCTATAGCAATAGATTGAAACAGTAAATGAATATTAGTTGGAGAATGATTGAATAAATCATGAACCACAAAAACTGAACAACCTTTAAAATAAAAGAAGTCAATCTTACATTCTGACTACAGATACTTCTAGAAAATAGTTATGCATGAAAGAAAATTGTAGACAAATATGTCACGCTACTAGGTTTTTAAATGGGTAATACATACATAATTATGTATAAACTCTGGAAAATAGGATGTTTATATCCTTAACGGCAATTTGCACTGATAAATGAGGCAGAGGAACAGAAACCAGGAGAAATTCATTCTCAGTGAAAAATTCATTTAGTATGCTGTATGTAATATTTTATATTACTTCAAAATGCTACAAGGCTTTTGAATGATCTTTACTTTGGCAGAAGACTGAATGCAGGTGTTAAGAAGCTCATCAAAAGCCTATTATTTTTGGAGCCTTAGTCTCATATCTATACAATGAAACTAAAATTCTTTCCAAAAGACGTTTGACTCTTTTTATAATTAAATCCTCCTTAAGTAAATGAAAACCTACTACATTTTCACAATAGTGAACTTTTACATTTCAAGGCAAATGAAGAATTATAAACCTTTTCAGCAATGGCATCACTGGAAAAGTATGAGTAATCCATGTACCCATATAGGCAGCTTCCAGTACAGAAACAGCATGTGATTATTAATTGGGATACGTCATCTTGACTTAAGTAAGAACCTCCTAGTGGATTAGTAAAGCTCTGGGTATGTCTGTGGGTGGTTGACAGGCAGGCCATGAACTGAAGCTTATAACCTGAACAGAATAAAAAGAAAAAGAAGGAAATCGTCCATTTTCTTTGGGGAAGTGCTGTTCTTTACCACTGCCTTTGGACACTGGTTTCCAGTTACTGCTGGCTTCTAACACAGATTCAAGTCTTCTAACAGACTCACACTGGTGACTGCCGCAAGTTTTGAGGCATTTGACCTTGACTGCTACTGGAACTCTGACTCTCCACTCTGCAGATAGCCAGTATGAATTCTTTGGTCTCTGATCTGGCAGAGCCATTAGGATTCTTCAGATTCTGATGCTGTAAGCCTACCTCTTAAATATCTTGTATGATCATACATATGTTTTATATCAAATCTGTTCCTCTAGAGAACATTAATATACCAAGTGATTAAAAAGTCATTTGCAAGTTGCTACTAAACTTGGTGGTGATTAGGAAATAGGAGAACAATTTGCTTCTATTTGAAAAAGCTGAGGAAATATTACTAACTTTTTTATATAATCTCTGAATTTGCTTGAAACATATAACATGTTTTCCCATAGCAACACTGTTAAACATGTCTGTAAATTCTGAAACCAAACTGGAAAAGTTTGTTCAACTCAAGCGTGACTAAGCTATAGTACTAATAGTATATTTGTTAAATATAAATATTGAATAAGATTGAGTAAATGGATACATCAATAGAAAGGGACAGAAAGTTCACTGGATTGTGTGCTCTGGGAGGAGAGAACTGGTCTTATTCATGGTTGTATCCCCAACACCCTGCCAAATGGCTAGTTCTCGGTAAACGTTGAATGAATTATTAAAGAGCTATCCTCATTGGGTATGGAAATAGACTTCTACAATAATTTATGCATGTTTTAACCCACTATGAAAGCACAACCCTTTCAAAAAGATACAATTATTTTGTAAAGTAAAAGATGTATAAAGAATATACTGATAGGAGAAAGGATAGGTAGCTAATCCAAGGAAATTCCAAAGACAAGGTAGAAACAGAGTCACTCAGGAGTGTGAAATGAACTTAATAGATGCAAAATGGTTGAACTCCATAGGGAAATAATCAATTGTGTCTTCACCAGCAAAAGTAATTGGCATTACTAGGTGTTTACTTCAACTAAATAAAGTAGTAAAATAGCTCAAAAGCAACAAAAGGAACTAATAATAAGGTACAGTGATTTAAACAACACCTAGCATTTCATGGAAAAACAATACTTTTTTTGTAATCTCAAAGTTTTTTATAATTTTTCCTAATTTCCTGTCCTTGTGATGATAACTTCAAAGGTTGTGCTTCTTTAAGCACAAAAAGGCTAGCTGTATAACTTTCTTTCTGATTATTTACATTAGTGAAGCAAGGGCATGAATCAAATTGCAGCCTGTTTACTCAAAGTCTGGTTTTTGTATCTCCTCAAAGCTAAGAATAGGCTTTGCATTTTAATAGTTAAAAACATGAAAAGTTGAATAATTTTCTTGCTTTTTTTTTTTTTTTATCGATACCCGGGATTGAACTCACGATCGCCTGCTTGCAAGGCAGGTGCTTATGCCGCTGAGCTAAATCCCCAGCCCCAAGTTGAATAATTTTCAACACATGAAAATAATATGAAGTTCACACTTCAGTCTTATTGAATGTTTATTAGGCACTGCCACATTTATTTATTTACGTAGTTTGTGGCTGCTTCCTTTCTACAATGGAAAAGTCACAGAGATAGTATGGTTTACAAAACAAGGCCACGACTAGAGTGAAACTCTTATAAACCTATCATAAATTTAAAAAGTTATAAGTCAAAAGTGCATTTAATACACCTAACCTACTGAATATCGTAGCTTACCCAATCTGTCTTCCTTAAACATGTGTAGAGCACATGCACAACCTACAATGGGACAAAATAATTTAACACAATGCCTATTTTATAATAAAGTCTTAGATGGCTCATATAACCTATTGATCAAAATTGAAAGCACAGATTTTACTAAATGTGTGTTGTATTCACAAGTGGAAAAAATCATAAATGAATCATCACACACGGGACCATCTGTATATTTTAAAACCATAAGAAGATAAGAAGAAAATCAGTTAAACAGACAAGATCAGTATTACTGATTATTTTCCTTGATAGAGATAGAGCTCAGAACATGCTAACCTAAAATGTAGCCCCTTAGAATACTGTATATTTTAATCTGAAGGAATTTGGGAAAAAGGCAGAAACAGCAGCTCACTCCAATCTTCTCCAGACCCTTTGTCCCAAAAGTAGATCATAAGACTTTGTACAAGAAGTGCCCTTTGTATGTAGAAGAAACAGGCATCCTCAACTTGAAAGGCACACACCAAGAATCTGAACAAAAACACTTTGCTAGACTTCCTCTAATTTATTGTCAATAGGTCGGTCATCGTCTTTGTCCTACCCTGTCTCTATGAATGTCCACTATTCATCAAACCTGTTATCATAAAACAACTCAAGAATTACTGTCTTTGAGCCTTTATTATGATACCTTCCCTGTGAATACATTTACTGCTTTTCTCTTGTTAATCAAAAAAAACATACTAAATAAATTTAATGTTTTTCTCTTGTTAATCTGTCATTCTTTATAGGGCCTCAGCCATGAACCTAGAAAGAGTAAAAGGAAAAATATTTTTCCTCCTCTACAGCCTAAGGCTCATAGTTGGCTTGGCATGAAACAACTGTATCTCGTGCGCTTCACTTTGGTCCTGGCCCTGTTGCAAAGCTTAAAATATTAGCTTCTTTCAGAAAAGTTTAGGAAGAGAGATAAAAAAAACCATATATGCTTCCTTGGCTTTGTTTTTCAAACTTGAGCACTAAGTGGTAGCATCATAAAATAAACGTCTGTTTGGTTCTATCTCAAAACCTCTATCCTTGTATGGAATTTCTCATTTATAATGTGTATTGTTTTCCTTAAACTATTGATTTGTTTTTCTATAGCTTCTTGGAATTCATTGGTATTTTTTGTTTGTTTGTTTGTGCAGGGTCTTCTTATGTGATCCAGACTGTCCTTGAGCTATGTACATCAGATTGAACTCATGACAATCCTGCTTCAGCCTCCCAATTGCTGGAATTATAGGCATGTTCCACCAGCCCCAGTTATCATTGGTATTTTTAGAAACCATTCTTTTGAATTCTTTATCTGATATTTCATATGACTTAATACGCTGGAGTCATTTGCTATGGAATTGTGAACTTTTGGAGTCATAATTTGCCTTTTAATTTTCTTGTGTTTATGTGTTGTAATTAGCATAGTGTTGTTTGGAGATATCTTCTATCTTTATGTGAGGTTGTTTTTAGGAAACAGCTTGTTTTTGATGATGTGTTCTTAGATATTCAGTTATTGTGAATTGTTGAGTGTATTTCCAAGTGGATTTCATAGAATAGTTTCCCTTGTTGCTTATTTGGTGGTGATTAGTGTATTTTGATGCAGGACACACTTTGTTGGAACCTGAGGATCCTGCTTTCTATGTATAAGTGTGAGTGAGGTCTTTCTCTTGGACCTGGAAATTATAGTTACTAGAGTATATATGCCATGCCCTCTGCAATTACTACTCTAATCTTGTCAATAATGTGCATTCCAAAAGGATGTAGGACTGATATTTGCTGACTCCTCTCATATGTGCAGTTTCTACAACCTTGTTTTTTCTGTCGCCATATTGTGTTGAGGTCCATGATCAGCTCTTCAGACACTTTCTCCCCAACTTCATATCCACTTTGAATCTGGCCATTGGTTTGGGGGTTTTATTTCCCTATTCTCTGAGTTAAGTGTTTGCTGAAGTTTGAATGGGACTGGGTTGCACATAGAACCAAAGTGTGCTGCTTTTGAGCTGTGCTTAGAGAGTAGCTCAGGAGCAGCATGTTTATTCAAGGTACTTAAAACTGTTATGCTTGATCTCTAGAACCATGTAGAAAGAGTGAAATGATTAGCAGTAACAACAACAAATAGCAGTGAACCAGATACAGCAAGGAAAAAATCCAAGTTCCAGCTGTGACATCCTAACAGCATCTATAGGAATGGTGTTATAGTCAGGGTTGTACAGAGATCAATAAGAATCAGGACATGGAGTTTATAATATTATTTTTTATAATGGTCACCAGGAATTAACACAAGAAAATGCAGGAAATCTATCCACAACACCAAAGACAAAGAATATTTAGCCAAGAGCCTGAATCCCACAACAATGTCCCACATGAGTCCAGATGAAGACCCAAAGATCATGACAGTGCCTTCCACGCGTCCTGTTGGAGGTCCAGAACTCACAAGAAGGACTCATGCCAGTATCTTACGGATCCGTGCTGGGAAGGCCCAAAGGTCAGCAGTGGAAGCCAGAATGTCCATGCCAATGGAGTGAAGGAGCTGTGCTGGTGGGACGAGGGTTCTACTCAGGACCCAAGAAGTCACACTCATAACAGAGACCAGGGCTGACCTAAAAAGCATCACAGCCATCCTCAGTGACATGGAGGCTCTGAGCTCCTCGGACGATAAGCACAGTTGAGTACATGCAAGGAAGCCAGCATGATAAGTTTATCCTGGACACCAAGCAGCACATGTCTTCCCCTCCAGAGCCAGGAAGCAGTGCTTGATGTGAGGACCAGAGCTTCTCCAGGAAAGTCAATGGCTCAAACAGCAACATGTAGGAGAACCCACAATGCCTCCACACCTTAAGTCCTATCTTCTCCTTCTCCACATCTCTATGTATGCTGGCAGCTTTCCTCAGGTAGAACATCTACACTCAGCACCATGCTGATGTGATCCAGCTGACATTAAGTTGACAACCAGTTCTTAATTCATGATAAATGGTAAGGGCAGAAATAATACATTTTAAATAGCGATGAAATTGTTTCTAATTAAGAGAAGAAAGTGGCAGAAGGAAAGCAAAGAAAAAGAAATAAAGCCATTTTTTGTTGAGTCAGGGTCTACATAGCCAAGGCTGGCCTCAAACTTGTGGCAATCCTCCTGCTAGGACTATAGGAATGCACTACCACACCCAGCTAAGGAAATTTAGAATTTAGAATATTCAAAAAACTAAACAAGAAATCAGAAGAACGGTGGAAAGTGAAGGCCACCCAAGAGGCCAAGGCAAGGCATGAGTTCAAGGTCATTATGGAAAATCCTAAGAGACCCTGTCTCAAAACAAAATAAAACAATAAACATCAGCTTGCTAGCTCAGTTGTGGCCTAGAATCAATCAGTCAATCAATCAATCAATCAATCAATCTCTCTTTCTCTCTCTATATCTCTCCCCTGAAAAAACAACAAAAATCAAAAATTTTAAATAACAAATAAATACAATGAAAGTAAAAGAATGTTGATTTAACTATTAGAAGAAAACAGTAAAAGTACTAAAGGCATGAAAGTATAAAAAGAAAATTTAATATGTATGTGAACTAATCAGCAAATTAATGAAAATGAAATAATCATCTGCTCTGAGGTGGTTAAACGTGTACAAGAGTGGATATTCACTACCTTTGCCAGTCTCTACTGCTTTTCACACCTTAGACTGTGCATGCCTCAAGGAAAGCAAAGCTGAAGGTTTTTTACACCTTTCTTTTGTACTGTTCACTTTTGTACTGGAGGTGTTTGGGGCTGGAGCTGACTGGAGAGACTCTTGGCTTCATTGTTCACCAAATTCAGGTTCCACAGAACAGGTCGTTCTATGGGCAGGAGTTTGCTTTGAACAGATTAGTTCAGTGAACAACAAAGGACAGGCTGATGCCAAGCTATGTTATATGTTTGGGCTTCTAGTTCCCTTTGAGTAGCCAACTCAGAGGGCAAGACAACCAATTGCTCTAGCTAGAGGAGCACAGCAGGACCCATGCAGTCTATCACCTAAGCAAGGACTTTCCATGGCCCAGGAAAGTCCTAGCTTAGGTGATAGACTGCATGCAGTCACATTTGTTTAGCTTCCTGGTCCTTTTCAGCTGCTGCTTATCAGTCTTAAAGGGCTAGAAAGCTCCACTTCCATTTATGATTCTGACCCCAATCTGTACTATATATAGATATATAGATAAAGATATATATTCCTTAGTGGGCCTGCTTTAGTACCAATTCACTGGAACCACACTAAGCCACAAGGTAGTGGCTAGCCGTAAGAGTACAGCAATATTGCTGTGATTACCATGAGAAAGGAAAATTTAAGGGCGTTTGCTTCCCAAAGCAGCAAGCTTGCACTTGACCTTCACAAGATAGTTTCCTGCTTAGTTCTCTAAACCTGTAATAACTTCCACTATTTCAGCACTAGATGGCACCCTAAATCCAGGTTTGCCTTGATTCCATTGTTAATAGCTTGTCACTCCTTTAGCACTAGGGGCAATCCTAGCCCAAGTTTGTTCCAAGTCTGTAACTAGTGTGTTGTTTCCACATGAACTAGGGGAGGGCCTAATAAGGGTAGTGCTTTCCTGCAAGCCTTTCTTTGGGGCTGGGGTATGCCCAAATGCCTCACGCAGTTACTGGCCTAGAGTCAAGTCCTGGGATTTTGCTCAGCTCAGGTCATAATCAGCATGGAGAGACTAGCCCCAGGCTCCAGGACCATGCCTGTGGTCACCAATACTGAAGGCTGTGTCACAGCCTGAACTTACAGTCCACCAAGGCCAGCACAACACCAGAGAGGGACCAAGACCCACACTGCTATGAGCTGGGTGCTAGTCTCAAGGTAGACTCTGGGACCTTGTCCTTGTCCTATCCTTGACCTGCCTAGCTCAGTTTTAGGAAGAATTCTGCTAAGTGAGTTTAGCAAGTATCCCTCTCACTCTTGACATTTGATCAAATTTCTCATCCCTCACCTTTGTAGTACAAGTTTTTGGCCTATCTTTACCAATTAGGTCAGCTTAGCAAGAATTTCTCTATGTTTTATCTCTCCTTTTAGAAATTCCCATCTAATAACCCCTCACGCTGTCTTTTGCTTATAAATCCTCAGATGTCTTTGCAGTACCGCATTACCCCTACTACCATAGTCTTGACCAAAGTCTTTCTTACCATGTTCACAAGTATCAGGATAGCTTTGTTTTAAACAGTCTTAAATCTTATAGAGGAGGAAAAGTAGATATTTCTATATCCATTCTAGATTTATGACTGAAGCCTATATATGAGAAGATAGATTTACAAAACAAAATCATACAAGAAATAGAGACCCAGGGCTGGGCATGTAGATCAGTGGCATAAGCACCTGCCTGGCAAACACAAGGTTGTGAGTCCAATCCTGGTACCCTCTCCCCAAAAAAAAGGGAGACCCAAAAGAACAAGTAAATCTAACTTTTTCTCATAGTAGGTTTGATAGAGAATGAGCAGTTATGAAGAAACATGGCAGGTGAACAAAGGGGTATGTTCTAATGATAACAAGTTAGGAGAAACATCGGAGCTGTTTGTTCAGACCCCTTTCTTGTGTTCTTCTTCCAAGAGCAGATATTCTCTTTTTCTACTGTTACTCAGTCCAAACTCAGAAACTCCAAATGTAAAAGGGACTTTATTTAGAGGCTGTTAAAGATTGAACCTCAGGAAACACAAATTCAAATTGCTTTAAATCATTGTTTCAAAGAAGGCAGGGAAAATGGAAGCTTATATTGAACAAATAACATTCATTTGTTTAATGTGGTACCAGGGATTGAATTCCTGGTTTTTGCACTGAGCTACAATCCCTACCCCACCCCTATCTCCACTGATTTTATATATATATATATATATATATATATATATATATATATATAGTTTTTTGGTTGTTGTTATGGGGATCAAACTCACGACCTAATGTTGGCCAGGCAGGCACTTACCCTGTTGAGCTAAATCCCCAGCTCCACTGATATTTTTTGACAGTCTCTATATGTCACTAAGTTGCCTAGGCTGGGCTTGAACTTGGGATTCTTCTACCCCATTCTCCCAGAGCACTGTAATTATAGTCTTGTACCACAGTTCCCAGCACATTAATTATAAGGCAGTAATAATTATTTTGCTTTCTGTTGGAAATCATTGAAAATCGTTGCTATGAGTCAAGGCCTTCAAAAGAATGTATATATACTCAGCAAAAATTTCCCAAGTCTGACACTCTGTTGATTCACATCTCAAGTCTCTGGCATCATATAATCTGTTCTACATGTTTGTAGTAAGAATGT